ATTGGGTGGTATTGTTCGTGCATCCAAGTATTTTGGCCGCAAGCAATCAGCTGACAAAGATTATGGTCCAAAGAATAAAATCTATATTTAGAGTATGAGTCTAATAACTTAAATTAGTTTATTTATATAATTATTAGAGTTTAAATAGTAATAGTAGTTTAGAAATTCTACATTTTTATTTCATCAAAATATTCCTTTATTCAGGCATATGACTAAATTATATTTATAAAATATTTTTAACACTTAACATTATATACCATATTCTTGAATAATTACATATATATATTAAATTCTTCAATAATTATATATATACCATATTCTTGAATAATTACATATATATATATTTAATTCTTCAAAATTTATGTGTTGGAAAAAGATTTTCCAATTACATATCAAATTTTTCAAAATTATATTAATTAAATTATTAAATTCTTCAAAATTTATGTGTTGGAAAAAGATTTTCTAATTACATATTAAATTTTTCAAAATTATAACTATTATATAGGTTATATAAATTAATTATTAAAAATAAGTAATTATAATTTCTGTAATATAATATATTTATAAAAAAAAATTATATATAATATATATTAAATCTAATATTAATATATTATTCATCTTAATTATAGAGAATAATATATATATATAAATAATTTATTAATATATTAATTAATATAATATTAAGATTTTATATTCTAATATATAATAAATTTATAATATAATTAATAAATAAATAATAACTAATAGTTTAAATACTCCCCCCAAATCCTTTATATTAGGATTTGGGGAGGGAGGGGGTATTTAAATGATTAATTCTTATTTCATTTATATTTATTATACATTTAATTATATCTATTTAAGATTAATTAACAATATATATTTATGAATTTAAATTATATGTATATCATATTAAAATATAATTCTAATTAATTAATAATATATATTTTAATATAGTTTAATATATATTATTAATAAGTAATATAATTAACATATAATAAATTTATTATATATATATATAATTATATACTAAAAGCCTCATAAATTATATTTATATTTAAATTTAATTTATAAAAATATAATTTTTTTAAATCTAAATTATTTTAAGTTAAAAATAATTATATACTAAAATCCTCATAAATTATATTTATATTTAAATTAGTTTTCTTTAAACATTTTTGAATTTTGAAGAATTTATTCAATTAAATGTTTAAAGTTATTTATAAATTTACTAAAATTGTGGATTATTTTAGTTTTCTTTAAACTAAATAACTTTGAATTTTAAAGGATTATCCTTTAAAACGCAAAGCTCTTCACGTTTTCTACTCCGTGCAATATGTTTTTCTTCCAGCATTTCCATACGTGCTGGCGGCTCTCTACCCATTGCACGGCAAGCACCAGTCGTCGGTTTGAAACTATTACATTTTACGACTGTTGCTTTTACACGTGCTTGGTAAGAACCTTTTTGAGCTAAATGCGTCCGTTTCCCGCCAATAAATTTGCAAATAATTGCATCGCAGCTTTCCACAGAATTGCTGGTATAATTGTACAATAAACTTTCCGCATTCTCTACCAAACGTTTCATTGCACTTTCGATTTCACAATATACTCGCGCGTTTTGCAATTCGGGAACAAGATTTACCTCGTTCTGTTTTGGATTTCCATTGCAAAAATATTGTAACGAGGCACAATCTTTGTGTTCGCCGAACACATGGCTAGGTATATTTTGTAAATCTTTCATTAAACCAGCAATTTTGCGTTCCCAAGATACTTGGTTATTGCGGCGATACGTTACAGCCTTTACTACAGCGTTTCTAATTTTCGAATTACTACTCGAAACTATTGCTTTTAAATATGAGGCACCATTACCCGCGTCTCGTATTTTATTTGCCAAATTGCGAAGAAGATGATTTGTGCATTCAATCTTCTTCGCAACAAGGTTCGGGTGCGGTGGGAAATCTCTTAGTTTTTTTAAGACATTACTATCCCCCATCACCAATGTATTTACTATATATTAAGCCATGCATCTCTAAGCTATTGCGAAAGCCTTCTAATATAAATGTCGCTTTCCATACTGGTAGAACTCTGATGACGTCCCCAGTTCTCAAAACATACATGCTGTTTCGCTGTCATGTTTCTATTAAACGCGCGTCCGCATACAACACAATATTTGTTTCTGACACCTACGAATAATATCTTTCGCGTATAATAACCTACGATAAAGGCGCTTCCAGACGGAAAATCGTAATCACCACCGCGATACGATCTCTTCATCCATGAACCATCCGTTACCGCAGGTATATGAGGAATCCCATTGATTAGGTCACCTCTCGCAATTGCTAATTGTTTTTCGGCTTCGCCGGCAAATCGCATTTTTTCTTCGGCGGCGTCAGCAAAAGCTTTACATACTTCGCTTTCATACTTTAGATACGCTTTATTAGACATGCATGGAACATCGATAGCAGCCAACAGTTCTTCTAACTGTGTGTGGCCAGTCCCTGTTAATAGAGTACCGTATACGGCACCTCTACTGATATCCAATATGTTTTCGTCTGTCGGTTCGCTCCAGAAGTTATCTTTAAAACGACACATTTGACATTCGACAAAATACTTGGTTTTCAACCCGTAACGGATCGTTTTCGTAATGACCAGATTAGTGAAGATGCACATGTTCGGATTGTGGTTGGACAGTTTTTGCAATTCTGCAAAAATATATCCAAAATCGACAATGCTCCTTCCACTAATCTCTTCAGGACGCAAACGATTTGCATCGATGTTCCCATCTTCGCGCAGAACGATACTTTCGTTATTTTCGTCCGTATCGCCTCGCATTCGCGATGTTGAGCATTCAAACTCATTGCATGCGTTACGTGAAGGTGCAGGAGATGAATGAGTTAACGATATGCTCACGTCGTCATTAGAGACATTTGCAATCGTACAATCATGCATTTCAACGGATGGCTTGGATTGCTTTTAAAGCTGAACTGTCATCGTTACGTGGGCTCACTACATTTTCCTGCCCTTCTTGAAATTGATCGCACATACCTGGTTGCAAGTTCGCTGGACGCACTAGGTTTCTGCATTTGCGTGCACGACCCATATGTCGCCTCATATCAAGACGTTCTTGGATTTCCTGCTCTTCGACACTTTGGCATATTCACACTTTATAGACACGAAATTAAATGAAATTTGAAAAAATTTTAGAAAAGTTAAAAAAATAATAATAAATGTAAAAAATTAAAAAAGTAAAAATGAAAGAAATTAAAAGTAAAAAATGCTTACAATTACTTAAAACACAAACACGAATCGCGGACGCATGCGAACGATGCGATTGATCGATGCAAACTAGTTGTCCAGAGCCGGGCCACCCGATGTTCTTGTGTTACGTTAAAAAAAACAGTTTCCCTGTGGGTCGGGGAACAGAATACGCTCACAGTAATCCCTGCTTGTCGTAAGAGGTGACTAAAAGGGACAGGCGAGACCGCGAGCTGTGGCACCCGCGGTCAGGTGGGGAGGTATTCTAGTATTTTATTGTATGTTTCTTTATTGTGTAACAAGGGACATTGTTATTTACACATTTCCGTTGTACATAGAGTATTTTTTAACATTCTGTTTGTTAACAAAATAAACTTATTCTATTGTATTACAATCTAATATTTTTGTTCGTATAACTATTTCCTTATTGTCTATTTGTACATGTTGTGGTTTGTAGGTGAAAGTCAACAATTATATATATCTTATTTTCTTAACTTACAATTATAAACTTTTGTAGTCTCATCAAATATATTGACTTGTTTTCGTTTCTCTTTCTTTTTACGCTAAATTGTTTTGCTTGCTGCTTATTCTGTATTTCCGCCTCTGGGGAAGTTTCCCATATCACAGTTTATTTAATACTTTTGGTCATATCTATATTTTGTATTTGTATGTGTTTTTTTTTTACCAATACGGTCTCAGTCTTCGCTTAAACTCTCTTTGTTGTATTCCTATTTTCTCTGTTAGTCTATTCTTTAACCCAAATGACGAATACAGAATTGATTGAGACAGTTTCTGACTTAGAATGAGTTTCTCGTTGTCCTGTGTTAGTAAGATCTAACAAGCCAATAATTATCACAATTCGATATTTGTTTCTTTTAGAAACGCTATAATTGCTTTTAAAGCTGAACTCTTATCGCTATTTATTATTTGCGCTACGTTATAATTGCAGTTATTTATTAATATACCTATTTTGTCATACATTTTTAAACGCGGAATAATTCTAAACGGACATCTAAAAAGGACATGCTCTATCGTTTCCTCTTCCATTCTACAGTCACATATTTGATCATCAATTATGCCTTTCCTGCCTAATGATTTCTTTAAATTGTAATAGTTTGACCTTATCCTTGATATTGACCTAATAGCATACCTATCTAATATATTACCGAATTTTTGAAACCACGGTTTGAATTTTACTTTTTTCTTATGTTCCCAAAAGTTTGAAAAGTAATATACTCCTTTGCTTCTACCGATTTCTTCTACTCTGTCGTTAAAGGCGTTCCAGATTGTATGTTTATATTGTACCAGATAGTCCAGTCTCGTGATCGGTATATCTTCATCTGGTTCTTTATTGGTGTATTTCTTTGCAAGGGAGTCCGCTTTTTCGTTGCCTGGTATCCCCTGGTGTCCTGGGACCCAGGTAAGTACTATCTTTTCTCTCTCTTTTTGGTTTATTAGTGTTTTATATATCTTTAAGATCCATGCGTTGTTGTTATTTTTTCCCGTGTCGTCAAGTTTTTCTATTTTACTTTCTAACCCTGTGAGTGCTGATAAAAAATCTGTTAATATTAAAATATTTTTACAGTTCATATGTTTGGTTAATTCTATTGCTTTATAAATACCTATAGCTTCTGTAGTATAAATTGTTGCTTCTCTTTGAATACTGTATCCTGTTTCTATGGAGGTTCCTTGTGGTAAATTGATATAAATTCCTATCCCGTTTGCGATTTTATTTTCTTGCTTTGACCCATCTGTATAACATATGACGGTATCTTCTTTTTTTAAGTTATGTTTATCCATTAGGAATTGGTTAATCGTGCTGAGAGGAATTCCTCCCGTTTCCAGAATTTTCCCTATGTCCTTGTCTATATCTATTTTTTTTAAGTTCTTCCTATTATTTAGTATCTTTTCTTTCCAGTTGATGCTGTTTTCTAGTGAGTGATTGATGGATAATATCTTATATTTTAAGTGGGCTATCTCATAAAAGGATGTTTCTATTAGGTTGGGTTTGGTTCCTATACCTTTTTCCCATTGTGTTAAATGGTCTATGTCGTTATGAATCGAAAAGTATTTTAGCTGGTTATCCAGTGTTTTGCCGTTTGTCTCGGTTTTCTCCATTTCTCTAAGCCAGTATCTGGTTGCGGCCTGTTTAGCTCTTAAATGATGTCCTATAAAACCTGTATCTGCATACATTACAGCAATTGGGGTAGACATTCTGTATCCTACAGCTGCTCTTATTGCTGCTGATTCAATTTTCCTGATTTTCCTATTCTGTTCTAAGTTTCCCTCTTTAGTGTATATTATGAAGGCTCCATAATCCACCACCGAGGAAATAAGGGCTCGGGTGATCTTTATTCCTCAATTTTGATTTATACCTTTCTGTCCTCTGCATAAATACTGGATGATTCCCAAACGTTTTTTTGCTTTATATATGATATCGTCAAAATGTGTTCTGAAACGTAAATTATAGTCAAGCGTGATCCCTAAAAATTTCGCCTCTGGGCTAGACTTTATTGCTGTGTTTTTATTGTTTATTACCACGTTAATTGAAAATTCTTCTAATTTGGGGTTAGTTTGGAATCTTACTACCTTAGTTTTTTCTGGTGCTATTGTTAGGTCCCTAATTTCCAAGTGTTCTACTAGTCTTTTCAATGCTATTTCCGATGGGCGTACTGACGTCTCTTCCTTTTTATATTTATTTACTATAACTATATCGTCTGCATACAGTAATGTGAAAGTGCGTTCATCGTCTATCTTCTTCTGTAAGCCATTTATATATATATTAAATAGAGTTGGACTAAGTATAGCGCCTTGAGGAACTCCTTTTTTCCAATCTATCTCTTTTACACCATGGGTGCAATGTTTAAAGATTACCTTCCTATTGTTGAGCCAATTCCTAATCCAGTTGTACATAGTTGACGGGCAATTTACCATTTTTAAAATGTGTAATAGTTTCACCAGATTTACGTTATCGTATGCTCCTTTAATATCTTCAAAAATTCCTACTGTATTTGCTTTTTCTCTGTTATTGTGTTTTATTTCATTTGTTATTCGTATTAAGTTATCCATTGTTGACTTATTTTTCCTGAAACCTGCTTGATTATTTTCTAACTTTTGATTTTCTTCTAACCAAAGCTGTAATCTATTGTTTACGATCCTTTCTAAAGTTTTACCTACGCATGATGTGAGAGTGATTGGGCGGAGGGCCTTTTTTCCTGGTTTCTGTAGCATTATTATTTCCCCTTTTTTCCAGTCAGGAGAAATTTCCCCTGTGTTCCAGCTCTCTTCATATATTTTGTGTAGATGGTCCTTCATATATAGAGACAATTCTGCCATTATTTTATAATCTATGCCGTCCACTCCTGGTGCTGACTTTTTATTTTTATTTTTCTCTATTGTTTGAAGCATTTCTATTTTATCTATTGTTATATTCCAAATTTTAGTGTAATTGTTGTCTTCTTCCTGTGGTATTGGTGCTGTATGAGTGGAAATGGATGTTATGGTTACATTATTGTCTATAATTTTATTTATTTCTGTATCCTCCAAATCTTTTCTTACCTTTGTTTCTAAATTGTCAGTATTTTCTGTATATCGTTTTTTAATCCCTCTGATTTTATTCCATATTTTGGTTAAATCTGTGTTGTTGTTCATTTCTTGTATTAGGTTTTCCCAGGCTGTTTTCTTCTTTTCCCTCTTTAAGATCTTCCATCTGGTCTTCCATCCAACCATGTTTTCATAGTCCTCGATTTTTCCATGTTTCCAAAGATCTTTTTGGTATTTTTTCCATATTGACCATGTAGAGGTACATTCTTCGTCCCACCACCTGGGTTGGGTTTTACGTTGTGTATTGGTTCTATTGTTTGTTGGGCGTAAGTTGGTGTTCCGTGTCGTCTTGTTTTGTCTGTATTGTTGAGTGTATTGGGAATCTGTATTTCTTACCTCAAAATATTCTATTATTGGTTGTTTCCATTTGTTGTACCTTTCTTCCAAATTGTGTCCTTCTTGAATACTGTTATTTATTTCTTTTTCTTTATTTGCCAAGTAGATCCTGAATTCTTTCCAGTCTATTTTATGTGGTTTATAGAGCCTACTTGTTCTGTTTACTTTATTTCCTATTGTCTGATATATTTTACTATTACGGTCTAAATTTATGAAAAAGTCTATGATTTGATGATCTGAACCCAAGTCCATACCTGTTTCTTCCCATTCAATGGAGTCTAAGAAATCATTGTGGCATGCTATTAGGTCAATATTTGACGGTTGAGAGCCTTTACCTATTCTCGATATTGTGTCTATATTAACAATCATAAATTCTATTTCCTCTAAAGCTATCTCTAAACTAGCCCCCTCTGCAGAGGTTTTATAACAATTCCAGAGTGGATTATGTGCGTTAAAGTCGCCTGCAATAATTGTGTTTTTGTTTAGGTTTAGTGTATGGAAAAGTTCGAGCCACTCCTTGGTGCAGAATCTTCCGTTTGTTCTGTAAATTAATCCTATTTGAAGTATTTCTTTTTGATTGAGATCTAAGACCTCCACCACTAGTGTCTCGAACTTTTTGTCTATTTTATGTGATTTAATTTTCTTTAGATTTATGTCCTCTTTATAGTATATACCTAATCCGCATCCTTGTTGATAAATTCTATTGCCTACTCTTCCTATATCACAATCGTTTCCATTATTAACTAACTGATAACCTTGTATTTGATAGTTGGTATAATCTATTATCCACGTTTCCGTTATAAGCATGATATCATAGTTGTTTATTTTTTCTTTTAACTCGTCTATTTTGTTTCCTATACTCCTTGCATTCTATAATCCTATTTTCAATTTTACATTATTGTGCATTTTGATATATAATTGTATGTATTGTTATTGCTGTTTTGTTCTGTACGCCTGTGGAGAAGATTATCGTGAATATATATGGAATAACTGTATTTATAAATGTATGAATATAATTACTTTTGGGTTTATTGTCTGTTTTTTTTTTTTTTTTTTTTTTTTAGAATTTAGTTTGTAGTAAATTTAAATAAAGTTAACTGTTAATTGGAATATGTCTATTAATTTCCTTTTAAGTGTTTTGGTCTGGGTTTTTTTTTTTTTAAAGTTTATAAATTCCTAATTTTCTTAATATTATATATAACATTTAGTTAGTTGTACTATTAACGGTTTATTTAAATACCGTTATTTATAATATCTAATATCGTGTATAATGAAAAAGAAAGAGGATCCATTTTTTAATACTGGATTGTTCTTTTACTAAGT